TTATTTGACAAGTGTTGACTTTTTTAAAAACTTTCAACAAAGATATTGATAGCCAACTAATTAAACTTTTTTTATTTAAATTCTATCCGAATGGCCATTTTTGAACACGGATATTGTCAACGGATATTCGGATGGATACGGATGTTCTATCCGGATAGCTGTTTTTGAGCGTGGATGACTATCCGGATTGACATCAGGGTCCCAACACTAAAAAACACAGATCCTTTGTGTTATTTCAAAATAGCGCATTTCGTTTTATAAATTTTTTAATAACAAACTATTTCCGTGTTTAATTAAAATATAATTAAAAAACCATTATTTTTTTAACTACAGTAAAACCTCTCTAAAGTCACCTCCTATATAAGCACATTTTCTTTATAAGCTTATTTTTTAAAAACGCATCTATTATTAAATATAATAAATTTGGCTTCTATAATTAGCACACTTCTCTATAATCACGCTTTTTTGTATCCCGTGGGTGTGAATATAGAGAGGTTTGACTGTAGAACTTTGAGACTACAATTAATATTGAAATTGTTATATAAAATTTTTTTTGTTACCATACAATGCTATATACAGTACCCACGGTCTTTTATAAGAAATCTAAGATAATACATTCTGGGTCTCTGAAGAGGGCACACTATACAACGAAGTATGCTGAAGAGAGAGTATTAATCATGTAAGTTGATCGTAAAACAAGATCATTGATTCAGGCCACCTGGTTAATACCGGATACTTTCAAAAAATATTAAAATCTATAATTGAATAATACTCCGGTACTATTTAAAGGGGATACCTTTTTCAAGGGGTACTGTATGCAGCGCTGTACGGTAATCATTGACTGGCTAACAATGAATAATCGACTAATCAATTGAATGATTATAAAAAATTTTAAATATTAAAAAGTCAAAAATTATATTAGAAATATATTCACAATTTTAGCTGTGTCGCTTTACTATCTAACAATAGTAAGATTAATAATTATAATACAAGAGAGGTTTTCTTATACAGGTACAATCTCTGCCTGAGTATTCGATTTTCGACTTCTACCCTAAGCCGGAACCATATCAAAAATTTTATTAATAACATTATGATATAAAACTGAGTTTGAGTTTGAAAGAAGAACGAACGAAACGAGGTTGAGAGCCACAAAAAAAAAAAAAAAAAAAAAAACTGTTGAAAATCAATAACTATTCTCTACCCTCGTTAAAACGGACCCTTCGGGCTGAAAGATTTTGTCCATTATATCCATTATAAATGAATATACGTTATAATGTTATATAATATAATAATAATAATTTTAAATTGTTTTAGAAAATTACTCCGTTATAATAAGGTATCCGCTATATCGGAGTCCGTTATAACGAGGGTAGAGTGTATTCCGTTTATATTTTTTCATAGTTCTATTCAAAACTAAAATTTTTGGTTTATTTCATTAAAAAAGAGTTACCGGTAAGCTTTCTTTATCTGTTAATATTGGACGGTGAAGCCACCCACAGTGTCATTTCTAGTTATCAAAAAGTTTCAAAGAAGTTAGCATGGTGTTCTTGCAAAATCCATCCTCTAATATTTTTCTTCCTTCTGATCCAATATCATTAGACTTAAGATTCAAAGAAGTCAACGCAGTGTTCTGGCAAAGTGCAGCTGCTAGCGCTTTTCCTCCTTTTGATTCAAGATAATTGTCTTGAAGATTCAACTCCTTCAGGGTATTATTCTTGCAAAGCGCATCTGCTAATGCTTTTCCTCCTTCCGATCCAAGATAATTACTAGCAAGATTCAAAGAAGTCAGCGTAGTGTTTTTGCAGAGTGCACCTGCCAATATTTCTCCTCCTTCTAATCTAAGAGTATTACTAGCAAGATTCAAAGAAGTTAGTGTGTTGTTCTTGTAAAGTGCATCTGCTAATGCTTTTCCTCCTTCAGATCCAAGATTATTATAACTAAGATCCAAAGAAGTCAATGTGGTGTTTTTGCAAAGTGCATTTGCTAATGCTTTTCCTCCTTCAGATCCAAGATTATTATAACCAAGATCCAAAGAAATCAACGTGGTGTTTTTGCAGAGTGCATCAGCCAATGCTTTCCCTCCTTCTGATCCAAGATTATTATAGAGAAGATTCAAATCTTTCAGCGTGGTGTTCTTGCAAAGTGCATATGCTAATGTTATTCCTTCTTCTGATCTAAGATCATTATAACCGAGGTCCAAATAAGTCAACGTAGTGTTCTTACAGAGTGCATCTGCTAATGCTTTTATTCCCTCTGATTCAAGATTATTTTTGCTAAGATTCAAATAAATCAACGTGGTGTTCTTACAAAGTGCATCTGCTAATGCTATTCCTCCTTTTGATCCAAATTTATTTCCCCTAATATCCAAAGAAATTAACGTAGTGTTCTTGTAAAGTGCATTTGCTAATGCTTTTCCTTCTTCTGAGCTAAGATAATTATAACCAAGATCTAAAAAAGTCAACGTGGTGTTCTTGTGAAGTGCATCTGCTAATGCTTTTCCTTCTTCTGATCCAAGAATATCATTGCGAAGAGTTAAAGAAGTTATTGTGGTGTTCCTGCAAAGTGTATCTGCTAATGCTTTTCCTCCTAATCCAAGATCGCTATATTGGATATTTAAATTTTTCAGAGTATTGTTCTTGTAAAGCGCGTCTGCTAATGCTTCTCCTCCTTCTGAACCAATATTACTAAAAGATGGCCAACCTCGAATATTAAGATCCAAAGAAGTCAAAGTAGAATTTTTATAAAGGATCTTTACTAAGACGTTTATTGTTTTAAAATTATAATCAGTACAGAAGTTATATAAATCTATAGAGGTAATACTAGTGTTCTCAAAAAGATTTTCAAATATTATTCGATTACAAATAGTTTCATCAAGACTTAAATATTTAAGATTCTTACTAGTTCGTAAAAACATTGCAATCAAAGAGCATTTAACGGCATTTTCAAGCTCACGACTTATTTCATATCTTGTATATGGAAGCCAATTTATAATTCCATCATACAAATAATTTTCAATAGATGTGATATAGCTTGAATATTCAAATAATGGTTTTGGGTAACTTGGAAGAGTAATTTTAAAAGGAATTAATAAAGTTTGCTCTTCAGCATTTAACGTTAAAAGGAATATTCTTATAAGTTTTATGTTTTTAAAATGCTTTTTTGGTTCGCTCCACAGTATTGGTATAATAATTCTACACCATTGGCGATTTACAAGAGCACATGAAAATAAGTTTTTATAATTATGCCGAAGATTATTAAATATTATATAGTAGCATTCATTCGGTAATGTTATCATATTGAAAAATTTTTACAGTTACAGTATTGCAGTATGTACGTACTATGCACAACTTTTTACTTATAAATAGGATAAATGTTGTGAAACGTTGCTAAGCATCCTAACTTACATGGCTTTACTTATTTGTGCTGGTAATACAAACTCCTAAAAAGGAAACAGCCAATAAACAAAACCGATCCTATTAATAAATTCGAAAGTTTTTTAAAATTCTAGTGATGATTTCTCTACAACCAGCTATTCAAACTCGGTTAAAATTTTTTCATTTCAATTATATGAATCTACAGAATTAAAATAAAAAAAATTTCATCAAATTTAGATAGTTGGGTGTCGAGAAAATATCGCTGAAAGTTTTAAAAAACTTAAAAAAATCAGAAAAAAATGAAAATCGGGTAAATTTTTCTTTCTTTGAACTTTAAACGATGATTTATCGACAACCAACCGTCCAAATTTAATAAAATTTTTTTTTATTTTAATCCTATGGATTCATAGAATTATAATAAAAAAATTTTGACCAAGTTTGAATAGTCGGTTTTTGAGAAATATTCATTATAATTAAAAAAAAATTGACTGCAGCTTCTTTTTTAAAGATATTTAAACTTTGAACGACAATTACTAGGCAGTTACCTGGTCAAATTCGATCAAAAGTTTTTTATTTCAATTCTATAAGCTCTTAGCATTAAATAAAAAAATTTTGATCGACTTTGACCAGGTAATCTTCGTTCAAAGTTTAGATGTCTTTAAAAAAAAGCTGCGGCCTATTTTTTTTTAGCTTTTAATTAATATTTCTCGACATCTAGTTATTCAAATTCAATCAAATTTTTTTTATTTTAATTCTATAAATCCATAGAATTAAAATAAAAAAATTTCATCAACTTTGGATAGCTGTTAGTCGATAAATCATCATTTAAAGTTTTTAAAAAAAAATTTAAAAAAAGAAATGCTGCGACCAAATTTTTTACTTAAACTTTAACTGAAGATTTCTCAACAATCAACCATCAGAGTTTGATGGATTTTTTTTATTTTAATTCTATGAATTCATAGAATTAAAATAAAAAATTTTGATTGATTTTAAATAGCTAGATGTTGAGAGATATTAATTAAAAGCTAAAAAAAATTTGGCCAAAACTTTTTTTTTTATAGATGACTAAACTTTGAATGAAATTTACTTAGCATTTACCTGGTCAAATTCGATTAAATTTTTTTTTATTTTAATGCTATGTGCTCAGAGAAATAAAATAAAAAAATTTGATCGAATTTGACCAAGTAACTGCCTAGTAATCGTCGTTCAAAGTTTAAATGTCTTTAAAAAAGGAGCTGCAGCTAAATTTTTTTTTAACTTCTAATGAATATTTCTCAACAATCGACTATTCAAACTTGATCAAAATTTTTTTTTTTATTATAATTCTATGAATCCATAGGATTAAAATAAAAAAAAATTATTAAATTTGGATGGTTAGTTGTCGATAAATCATCGTTTAAAGTTCAAAAAAAAAAAATTTACCTGATTTTCAATTTTTTTCCAAGATTTTTTTTAGGTTTTTTATACCGGGTGGGTGAAAAGTCCCTATACAGGACCTTTTTTTAGGACCTTTTTTACTATTTTACTAATTTTATGATTATGCATTTTAATATATAAATTTTCTACATATTTTCTTTAATTCAAATTCAGATAGTAATAAATTACTATCAATTTGGTATGTATTTATTAAATTAAATGCTCAAAATGTTGACCATCAAATTCAGAACAATATTTAAGATGATTAAGAAATGTATGTCTAATATTTAATAATGGTTCAGAAGTAATTTTGTCATATTCATTAACAATCTGTTGTTTTAAATCTTCAATATCAAAAGGTGATGTTTTAAAAACTTCAGTTTTAAAATATCCCTACAAAAAAAATCAAGTGGAGCAAGATCCAGTGAACAAGGAGGCCACCTATAAGGTCCTCCTCGACCTATCTATCTATTAGGAAATCTTTCATCAAGATATTTATAAACATCTTTGTTATAATGAGCAGGTGCTCCATCTTGCAAAAAAAATAATTTTAGTTTTAGGAAACAAATTATTTAATTCAGGAATAATATTACTTTGTAATAAGTCTAAATATTTTAGACCATTCAAATTTCTATTAATAAAAAATGGTCCAATTATAAAATTATTTATTATTCCTGCCCAAACATTAACTTTTAATAGATATTGTATATTATCAGTACTTATAACATGCTTATTTTCTTTACTCCAATAGTAGCAGTTATGTTTGTTTACCTCACCACTCAAATAAAAATTTGCTTCATCAGTAAAACAAATGTGGGAGATTAGAGTTTCATTATTTTCAATAAGTGCTATAAATGTATCACAAATTTTTTTTCGTAAATTAGAGTCAAGATTATTAAGTTCTTGATAAATTTGAAATTTATATAGATGAAATTTATAAATTTTTAAAATTTTTCTAACACTAAAAGGAGAAATATTGATTTTTTTTGCAAGTTTATGTGTTGACTGTTGTGGATTTTCTTGAAGAATGGCAACAATAGCCTCTTGATTGTCACTATTAGTCACACTTATTAGATGACCAGGACAATGGTAATCTGGCACACTTCCTGTTTTAGTAAATTTACTTATCAGATTTTTGATAGTTAACAGATGAGGTTTAGATTTATTAGGATATTTCATATAAAAAGCATTAGCTGTTTTTTGTAAAGAATTTTTCTTCAAATAAATCATTACAAGTTTGGTATGTTCTTGAGTAGAATAAGTCATGGTATATAAAATTGAATCTTCTTTAGAATAACTAGGCAATATAAAAATATTATAAGATTATAATATAAAAAAAATACAAATTCTAACTCTAATTTAACTTTAATATACACTATAACCCTTACCCTAACCCTAACTAGTCCCAAATTTGTATTAATTAGGTTAAATAGTTATTTATTTATATTATAATTTTATAGTATTTTTATATTGCCCAGTTATACTAAAGATCAAC